GGGGGGGGGGCCCCGGGGCGGGAGGGGGGGTGGGGGGGTCTGGCCAAACTCAGACGTGGGGCCCCATCAGACAATAAAAGGCGATCGTTGAGCGGGGTGCGGCTTTTTGGAGTGTCATTTCCGTCACAGGGCCCAGCAGGCAGACCTGGCCTCCGGGGGCCCTGTGCACACAACTGGGGGCGGGGGTCTGTTTGGTGGAATGCAGACGTGGGGCCCCATCTCCAGGCCCCCTAAAACCCCCAAGCGAGAAGTGAGGGGAACAACACGGCTGAGTTTACACAGAGGAGGAAACAGCAGTGAAACAGGCCCAATAAAGAGGGAAATCAAGTGCAGGATACAGAGAATTTATTCAGAGTCCAGTACAGACCGGCCAGACCACCTCCTACATGTGGACAGGAAAAAAGAGCCTACAGAAAAGGTAGGAGTTGTTATAAAATTGCTTTAATTCAGTTCTCTCCGCATTACAAGCCGGCAGCAGGCAGTGGCCTGCCATGCTCCTTACAAATACTGAGCCTGTAATTGCTGTTATCAAAATATACATCTGTGTCACCATAAAAAAAAAACCGCAATTGCTGCCCCTCACGTCTTACAACAGGTATAAAAAAATTATAAATATTTACACCCTTGTTCCACCCCGACATGGAAACTTGAGGCCCAGGCCCTGAAGGAAGGCCGGCCAGCACAGGGCCTGCGCGGGGAGCCCCTTGGACCCGTAGGTGCAGGACAAGGCGGTAAAGACCGGAAGGTTAGGGCTGCTGTCCCACCTCCTGGGGTACCAGCATTAGAGGCAGACAAAAAACAGAAACAAAACTTTGGTCCAAAATTTGCAGGAAAAAAGAAACCCTGAAAGTTTAAGAGGACTTGTCCTCCGGGACAGAGGACAGTTGTGAGTAAGGCATCGGCAGGTCGCAGACGTGCCGGCCCCATTGTGTCTGCCCTGGAAATTAGATCCTGCCCTGCGACTCAATGACAAGGAATAAAATAAAAGTACAGCATACAAAGTCATACCACGAGGAGAAAATTTAGGTTACACTCATACCTTTTTTTATCATCTTGCTATATAAAACGTTATTTAAAACTATTTTTTGCATATAAATGAAAAAGATTAGAATATTTGGTCAACTGGAAATATTGCTAGGCACGGGTGTCTGCAGCTGCATCGAAGCATAATACAGAGATTACGGTGGAAACGAAGCTGAAGAAGCGACGGGGGGGCGGGGCGGGGGGCCCTGGGGCTGGGGGGCAAATGATACAAGGATTGGGGGCGGCCACACCCGGCCACCCACGGTCTCCCACCGCGGCAGGGACACGATCCCATGGGAGGCTGCCCCCCCCGACCCCCAAACTCCTACA